TTTATGGTAATATTTTACAAACTATCTAAACTTGTGTGGTTCCTTAGAGTATTCCTTTTTTTCCCAAAATTATTTTCTTAGGTATTAAAATATTTTAAACAATTTTAATTACATTCATCTATTCATTTGTGTGTTTTTGCTTGGGCTCTCACACTCACGCACACATGTGTGGAGGTGAGAGGACACTTTACAGGATCAGTTCTCACCCTCCACCAAGTGAGTCCTGGCCACTGAACTCAGGTCAGTAGTGTTAGCAACAGGAGTCTATTCATTCCTTCAGAGCCATCTCACCAATTCTAAAATATACTTTAAAATCATGTCAACATATTTACTTCCCATAAAGTGGCAAAGAACAGAAATCTTATCCCCTAAATTACACCCCAGGACAGAACAAGTAACTCGGTGACAGAAAACATGCATAGAGAATGTTTTCATAACTGACTACAAAGCCAAGAGTAGTGGTGCCTTTAATCCCAGCAATCAGGAGCACGAGATGGGTGGATCTCCATGAGGTTGAGGTCTACACAGAGAACTTCAGGCTAGGTAAGGTAACATAAAAAGACCCTGTCTCAAAAAAAAAATTAAATACATTTCAATAGTTTTGAGAAATGCCAAAGTACAAGAAAAGTAAAATTTGCCAATAAATGGATGGACTTGAGACGGGTAACCCAGACAATAAATGGACGGACTTGAGATGGGTGACCCAGACAAGAGAGAAAAATATAGGCCACCAGTTCTTACGCAGGTGGATCCTAGCTTTGCATCTTTGATTTTGTGGGTCTCACTTAAAATACCCTTAAAGTTGGGAAACTAGAAAGGGACCATTGGATGAGGGAGGAGTGAATTTACGGGGGAAGATGGTAGGACCCGTGGCTTGGGAATCAGGCCCAGGGGAGAGGCTACTACTATTTTGATGGATGGACATAGTATCTAACTGTCTGTTCTTAGATTCAGAGGTTAGTGCCACTCTCTCGCATCCCTCATCAGAGAAGCTTCCTCTTGCAGTGATTGACAGCTTGTCAAAGTGCAGAGATTACGTGACTGCAGAGTGCTCAGCCACAGAGGAGACACATCATATCCCCTCCCTGCCGAGGCTCAGACAACATTAAAAGAAGGAAGCAGAAAGATGACAGAGTCAGAGTGCAGGGAGGACCGCAAAGCATTGTCCTCCAGATGCGGCAGGGCTGCTGCACTGAAGAGTTTGATCTGCTGCGTCTCTCTGCACTAGTGAAGCCAGCCAACATTCCAACACGGATGGGTTAAGAGTTAGGAATTCTCACACCTAGCTGAGGAGCTACTGGCAGCTGACGGATCTGGGAGTGTGACCTATTGTAGGTTTTTCAGACTCCATCAGACGACTCTACACCCATGTGCATGCTCACAAACACACATGAGAGCAGGGGGAGGGGAAGAACACGAAGTTGGGAGGAAAATGTGGGGTGTGTCCAGGAGGAGCTGGAGTGATTAGTATGTAAACACAATGTAAACATGTATCAAACTACCAAAGAAGAAAATTTAAATAATAAACTTTCATCATTGACAAATAAATAAACATTACTTCCCTTTTCAACATAAAAGATAAACATGCAGAAAATGGCAATGGCAATTCCACTAAAATAATGAAATTAGAAGTGTATATCAGGCTGGCCTTGAACTCAGATATCTTCTTGCTTCTGCCTCTCAACTGCTGGGATTAAAGGACCTTTATATAAGTCACAGGTAAGCAGAATTCTAAAGTGATAAGAGATTGAGACAGATAAGCAGTGAATAACCAGAAGCCTATCAAAATGTGTGAAAGAAAGAACTTACATTCAAGCACCTACAAAACTCCAAGATAAATACATAGAAAGCCATGCTTAGATACACCATGCAACTGCTGAAAAGACAAGAGCAAAACAACAGAACAAAGCCAAACCAAAAACTCTCAAAAAGATAGGAAAGAGTTATGTTCCACACAAAGAGACAGTGGCCCAGACAAACACTGTCCCTCACCAAAGCCATGGGAACCAGAAGGCTGAGATAGGGTCCTTTCGGGAGGATCACAAACATATTTTAAATGTCCATAACCTTTATCTAAGAATTCCACGTCAACAAGTTTGTCATGAATAGATGACCAAAAGCCATGTAAGTAGCTTTAGACAGTAGAGGAGGGATAATATATATTAAGGGGTAGCTATAAAAACTACTGTGAAGCCATTAAAATCATGCTCGTAATTATTGACAAAAACCACTGTACAATCTTGTTAATTTGTGTGTGTGTGTGTGTGTGTGTGTGTGTGTGTTTATGTGGGGGGTGGGTACACATGTGTGAAGGTCAGGTGAGCCTCAAGTTTCTTTCTTCAGGTGCTGTCTATCTTGGTTTATGTTGGTTTTGTTTGTTTTAAGATGGGGTCTCTTACTAACCCGGAACTCACAGAGAAGGCTAGGCTGGTAGACCAGTAAGCCCCGGGACTCATCCATCTCTGCCTCTAGTACTGGGGTTATAAGCATGCATCACCTCGCCAGGCATTTTAAACACAGGTTCTAGAAATCAAACTCAGGTTCTCATCTTGCTTAGCAAAGGCTTTGCCAGTGGAGTCCTCTGGTGAAGTTTTGAAGGGAGGTTAACAAACAGCATGAACTTGTGTATATTCTGAACTTAAGCATCAAATTTTCACCAAAGAAAGACAGAATCCCGATTCTGTTTAATAAAGAAAGGCCATATGATCAAATACTATGAGGTATGGGAATCAACATTATTAGTGTTAGAGTTCTCAAATCATGAACGAGGAACTGTCTTCCTGGTGTAATGCCCCCTTGTTCTAACTGTGGTAGAGTGTATAAAATGGCCCCATGGATGACCTCATCCCACATTCCTTTACTGTGAGACTCTGCTACTCCACTCACAAGGGGCAACTTGTTTCTGTACACCTTGAACCTAACTGGACTTGCCAGCTGCTGCAAGCATACAGTGCAGTAGGAGAGATGGTCTGGATCATCCTATGCCTTAGTCAGCTTACACTTTCTATTTCTGCTTTTGGAATATGGCAACCATAGAGAAGTGGTCCTGCTGGAGAGAAGGCTGGGAGGAGGGTGGGACAGCACATGAAGGCAGGAGACAGGCAGGAAGAAAGGCTGTGAACTTTGGCCCAGGCTCTGGCCTTCTAATTGGTCTTGGACCTGTAAATTTTAATTCCTCTACCTCCACCTAGCAGCCAACACGATCTCTCTAAAATAAAAGGGTTATGGTGGATCTGGAGTGACGGCTCAATAGTTAAGAGCATTTGTTCTCGCAAAGGGCCCAGGTTCGACTCCCAGGAGCCACATGGTGGCTCAGAACTGTCCATAACTCTAGTGCTAGGAAACCCAGTGACCTCTTCTGACCTCTGAGGATGCAAGCAAAACACACTCATAAAATAACTTTTAAAAAAGGACTACAGCATTCAACTTAAACTTCCTCAGTGACATCATATAGCTTTCAGAAATCAAATCAAAACGGATCTTGCCTTCCTAGCCTCTTCTTCAAAACTCCGGACACCCTTTGTTTCAAAATGAACACTACATACCACACTCTGGGCCATGTTTTCTCCGGTCCCATTTGCCTATTTAACTTTCACTTAAATTTTAAGCTTTGGATTCCATGTATGTCATCATGTCTCCTAGGACATTTATTTTAACGTGTTTTGCTGTATGAATGTCTGTGCCCCGGACACATGCCCGGTACCTGCAATTGCCAGGAGAGGACTGTATCCCTGGAACTGGAGGTACAAATGGTTGTGAGGTGCCATGAGGGTGATGCCAATCAAACTTGGGTCCTTTGGAAAAATAGCCAGTGCACTTGACAGCCAAACCATCTCTCCAGCCCCCAGACTCACAAATTAAAGACAGCTAACAACCAAAAGCAAACTTCAGCAGGAAGCAACCTACTTTACTTTTATCAAAATATTGCTTGATGTCTTCTCTTGGACGGTTCTCTCTTCTGTTACATTTGCTACTTCTTTGCTTTGCTTTAAGTGAGTAGTTTATCTTTGAAAGAATCTACTTTTAAGAAAAAATATCAAAGAGATAAAGTTAATGATTTTAATGGTTAGAGTGTAGATGGAGCCCCCCAAAATGATTACTTCATATGTAGATTTTATTTATGTTACTAGATGAAAACAAAAGCAGATAACATTTCATGGGTTTGATGGTGACATAAAATCTATTTTTGTTGTGGTGACAACAAGCAGTCTGAATTATAAACTAGGTGTCCCAGTGGATTTAGGGCAACACTGCACCATCCATGATTTTCCAGTGGGTAACTTTTAAACTCTAAAACATCATACAGTACTGTTTAACTTTATTTTTATTTTATAATTTCTAAAATGCACAATTAAAAACCTTACTTGTAGCCCAGTGGTCATGCACACATGTTTAATCTTAATATTCAGGAGGGGCAGAGGTACAGGTATCTCTGAGTTCAAGACCAGCCTGATCTACAGAGAGAGTTCCAGGACAGTCAGGACTACACAGAAAAACCTGTTTCAAAAAACAAAACAAAACAAAATTCTTATCTGTTTTTCAAAGTCTTATAAATACACTGTAGGCATGTAATTGTAAAATAATTTCATATATACATTCTTATTGTAATGTCAAGATAAAACACATTATTAGAATTTTACAAAATGATACACTCATTGGATACAAGAACAGAGGAAAAATTAGTAAAACACTCACAAATTGGTAAGCATATTGTGATATTTACATATTATATATATTATTTTATACTAAGGAAAGTCAATGAGTCATACCTTAATTCATCTGGCCGTCATAGTTTAAAGTTGTACAGCCACAGTAAATAGATGATGCAGTATGATTTTATTTTACATAAAATTGAAGAAGTTTGCTGGGCAGTGGTGGCACACACCTTTAATCTCAACACCTGGGAGGCAACGGCAGGAGGATCTCTGTGAGCTGGAGGCCAGCCTGTTCTACAGAGTGAGTTCCAGGCTCCAAAGCTACACAGAGAAACCCTGTCTCGATAAATAAATAAATAAATAAGTTCAAAACTAAACAAATATTACACACACACACACACACACACACACACACACACGCTGACTAACATGAGCTTTGGGATAGCTACTTCTTAGGAGGAGGAATAAATGCTAAGAGGACAGTCTCTGCTCTCCACCCCCAGAGACTCGAGCACCTCACAGGCTTCACTACCCACCCTGCAGCACACTGTGCAGTGGGGATGGGGGGGGGGATCACATAGCCTTTGGCAGCACTACATCTTGGGTAGAACATGCAGAAGAATAGTTGGGTAGAAGTATGGGTGCTTGGCAAGGTTTGTTTTGAATGCTAAACTCTGAAAGGAGCATCTAAATGCACAGGAAGTCAGGTTCCCAGGAGAAGCTGAGGAAACAGGAGAGGAATGAAGCACATTATCCGAGTTGAAGGAAACCAGGCACAAGGCTCAGCTGGACACAAGCCCTTGAAAGGATGACTACCACCTCAATCACACGGGAGGGAGGAGAGGGCACAAACACTGCTATTCATCCACCCTATGCAAGGGGAGCTGAGCCGGGCGGTGATGGTCCATGCCTTTAATCCCAGCACTTGGGAGGAAGAGGCGGGAGGATCTGTGAGTTTGTGGCCAGCCTGTTCGACATAGGGCATTTCAGGCTAGTTAGGGCTACATCGTGAGACCCTGTCTCAAAACAAACACAAAAAAGAAGAGCTGAGGGGTGATGGGGAAACCACACAGCACATGGAGACACAAGGTAACCATTTGGACACAAGTGCACAACCGAGAGCAAAGCAGGCAGACAGCGGCATTTTCTCTCCATTGCCTGCTCCAAAAACTGCGCCCCAGGACTCCATCTCTGTGGAACCTGCTTACCTTACAGCAATGTTTCCTCTTATTAGCTCGTTTATGTAGCACATGGCCTCAAGTTCGCAGTCCTCCTGCCTCAGCTTCCCAGGTGCTGGGACCACATGTGTGTGCCACCACACCCACATCTTATTCCTTTTTCTGCTCGGTTCTACCCCACCTGGCCGCAGCACTTGCTTTTTATTTATTCACACATTTTGTGGTTATTTTGTGTTGTATGTCACGCAGACGCCATGTGTTCTTCCATTAGTCGTTGAGTCCAAAAATCAAGCATTTTAACGTCATCCCATTATTTCCAAGAATGCATTATCATGCACACGGCAGCATTAGGATAATTCTCTAACTCTACCCATGGAAGCAAATGTTCTGAAATTATAGACTGTATACACAAACACCTGGAGCTTTGCGACTCCATCATCATAAACTGCTTCAGGTTTTTCATTTCATGTATCCCAGACTGGCCTCAAACTATGTAGCTTAACATGTCTTTTAAGCACTGTCTCTACCTTCCTATGTGCTAAGGTTGGAACTCAGAGTTCTGTGCATGCTAGGCAAGCATTGAACCAGGGCCATTCCCAGCCTCCATGACAGGTTGTAGAACTATGTTTTAAAAGCCAAGCCAGAGATCTAATGCTAAAATCAAATTGGTTTAATTTCAAACTTGCAAAACAAATTGCCCCTTGCCCTTTAAAACTATTAATATTTTTCATCATTTTAATTTTCAAATTAAGTTAAGCTAACTAGATGCAGAACGTCATCAGCAAAGACACTCTGCAGGGAATGCCATCTTGTGGTGGAGACACTTCAGGTCAGTGACAACCTGTAATCCAGAAAGTAAATATTCAGGAAATACACACAGAGCAGTTAAAATCACTGCCACTACACAGTAATGGACATTAAGCATTTGCTTTAATTTGAGTGGGTTAGGTGCCCAAAAATGTTTATTAGATTTGAGACAAATAGGAACAGACTTTGAATAATATAGAAAAGCTGTTGTCTATCATTGTACTTTTATTAAAACTTTCAAACATTACTGATTTTGGAACCCCTTCCTCTTGAAGTGGGTGATTTTATTTCTGTATACTACTCCACAGTTCTGTTGATAGATACACCCTAGAGTTAAATGCTGGCTCACCTTTCAGACTTCCTCAGCCTAACTACAAATATTCTACGGGTAGTGAACAGTCCCCCAACTCTAACTGAACAGGGTGGAGACACATAAGCAACCACTGTCCAAGCTGGAGCTTGAAATGGTTAAAAAAAAGATGGCTCCAATATTAATGAACTAACTTCCTGTTTCTGCTATGAAAGTTAACTATCTCAAGCAGCAAACGGTGTGAACAACAAACAGTAAAAGGCTATGGATGCAGTACTTAACTGTGCTTAAAGATTTGTAAATGCCAAGCCAGATACCAGTATTTGTTCCTCTCGGAAGTGGGGGTGAAGGAGAAGCTGCCATATCCCCCCTAAGCAGAGAATGAAGCTCGACAGCACCAGGTTCCAGGGGCGATGCTGGAAGGTCTCTTCTGGAGGACCTGGGGGTCACTGCAGGTGTAAGGTCAGGCCCAGGGGTCAGGGCGCTGGATTTCCAACAAATGCACACAAAACATTTACACACACAAAAAAAATATGCTACTGTAGTCCCAACCAACGCTTGAGATTTATTTTTGCTTCTTGCCAAGAAAAATACTCTACTCAGACTTCCTTATGAACCGATTTTGGATCATCTTTTCCACGTGGCTCTTCAGGGCGTTCACGTCAGCTGCACAAACCTGGTAGTCCGTCTTCCCTTGCTGTTTCATTCTCTCTAACAAAGCCTCATGAGGAGGTGGTAATGCATTGTACGAGCCCAGTAAGTAAAGCTGGCTTGATGATGTCTCGTTGAGCTCTTTAATCTTCAGGGCCTGCAGGATAGCGGGTGCAAACTTCGAGTAGTGAGCTGTCGATGAGATGATCACCGGGCAGCTTTTGTCTTGCATCTTGTCTGCAACCACCTTTGCAACAGCCGTGTGTGGATCCAGAATATACCCTGCCGTGTTGTAGGTGGTGCCGATGGCTGCGAGGCACTCTCCCTCCGAACACCAGTCCGCGACAAAGTCCTCCTGCAGCTTCTGGACCAGCAGCTTCTCTATTTGGAAGTGAAGCTGGCTCTCTAACTGATTAAATAAATTTGCCATTAACTGTCCATCTTTGTTAGCCATCAAGTATAAATGTCGCTCCAGGTTTGAAGATTTGAGAATATCGATTGATGGTGAGAAGGTTTGTGCTAATTTCCTATCCCTTAGATCATAATGTCCAGTTTTTATGAAATCCGTCAAAACGTGGTTCTGATTAGAAGCACAGATAAATTTCCGGATAGGGATCCCCATCATCTTGGCATAGACTGCTGCTAACACGTTCCCAAAATTTCCTGTGGGGATACAGACGTCTACTGGGCTTCCAAAGGAAATAAACCCTTGGCTAACAAGATCAAGATAGGCAGATGCATGATAAACTACTTGTGGAAGCAGCCGAGCCCAATTTATAGAATTTGCTGAACTTAAGACTGTTCCATATTCCACAGTAAGAAAGCCAGTAAAATCAGAATCGTTAAATATTTTTTTTATAGCTGTCTGGCAAAAATCGAAATCTGACCTGACACCTATTGCCCATCCGTTTTCTCTCTGACTGCCAATTATCTGTGCTTTTTGAAAACCACTAACTCCATTCTCTGGAAAAAATGTGACCACGGCGATCCTTTGCTTGTCGTTTGTACTAAGATGGCTAAACCCATTTAAGACTGCACTCCCCGTGTCTCCTGAAGTAGCTACAAGGATCACATAATTGCAACTCGGTGGGATGCAGTAGGCAAAGATATGAGGCATGAGCTGTAGAGACAAATCCTTGAAGGACCCCGTGGGCCCATAGAACAACTCCAGGATGAACTGATTGCCTGACAGGTGCCTGACGGGGGCAATTCTGGAGCAGGCAAAGTTGTCCCCGTAAGCAGTTTCAATCATTTCTCCCAACTTGGTGGCAGGTATGTCCGCGGGGTGAATACACCTTTCCAGAAGTATCTGCGCTCTCTCTATGTAGGTCGCTCCTATTAGGCTTTTCCACTCCCCACAGCTTAATTTTGGAAACTCCTTCTCAGGGACAAAGAGTCCGCCATCAGAAGCCAATCCCTCAATCACAGCTTCACTGAAGTATTTTGGTGGAGGCTTCTTGTCAAGGTCTTTAGGACACACATGCCTTGTTGAAATGAATGTCTCTGAATCCACATCTTGGTATCTTTTCACCGCATCCAGCACTCTGTCTGCAACCTCCTCAGCGGAAGCCCCGCTCTCACAAAGGACTCGAGTATCGTACCACTTCTTATAGTCCAGTCTTCTGTGCTGCAGGAAGTCTCTCACAGATGCTCCTGAGTTCTGACCAACAATCCTGCTAACTTTCGTTGATTTCAGACGACTGATTATATCCACTAGAGGCACATCCAGGTACACGACAATCCCATTTTTCTTCAGATGCCACATACTAGCATCATGCATAGGATTGGACCCACTGAGGGAAATCACACTTCCAGATGCAGACAAGTTTAAAATGGCTTTTCCTTCCTCTTCTAAAAATTGCTCATTACCAACATCCTGCAATTTTTCAGAAGCGCTCATCTTCCAGGTTTTTTCAAGGATGTCACTGTCCACGTCAATGACACAGCAGCCTAGCTTGTGACCTATTATTCTGCCTACTGTCGTTTTCCCTGCACCAGGAGGCCCCATCAGGATAATATTTTTGTCTCCAACAAGAGAGTGGATTGAGTGCCATGACCTCCCTGATCTTGCATATGCAAAGGCCCGTGAGAGCAAGTGCTGCGTGTGAGTCCGCACGTTAACCTGTGCACTAGAAAAACACTTCTGCGTTATCTGTTTCAAATGTTGACATCTGGTAAAGTTCAGCATTTCTTCCCACTTTTCTGCCTGAGCCAACCTAGGGTTGACTTTAGACCCTTTAAAGACATAAAGACATTTAGTTACTTATTTCAAGAAATGGTTAAAATCCCGATAGGATTGAATATATTCATGCCTTCAACACATAAAACGTTCAAAATACTTCAAACTGATGGGACACTTCAGAAGTCTTATACGAGATACACTGTGACATATCAATTACACAAAGCAGTGGGCTTCACTGAGCCACTTCCATCATGCTTTCATTAAACTCGGATCGCCCTTCTCCATCCCTTTCCATCCCTCTGCCTCTCCTCTCCCATTCCCTCCCTCCCAGCCCCTCTTCTACTATTACATCAATTTGGTTGTCAGAAAAAACACACAGTTAATATCTTTTCAAATTTCAAGACACCAATAAAATGAAGTTTAAAAAAAAATATGTATGACTCCCAGTACGATACAAAGCAAATGTTAACAGCAGAAATCTTATTCAGAAAATGTCCTATCGCATGTCTTCATAGACACAGTAAGTCTCACTGCCATCTCTCTTCCTTGTAGGAGCACTGTGACAAAGACAGGGTCACAATTTGTTGGCTTATAACACATACGGAGAAACTGTGCAGTTGTAGTAACAAGTACCTACAACTCATAAAAGCTGAGACACACTCTTAATATTCAACTTGTCTTGATGATCATGTTGATAGACTATCCTTATTTATTATTTTCTCATAAAATCCACAACAGGAAATTAGAATAAACAAGCACACTTGCTTATAAGCTGCAATTCCACATGTGCCCTTTTCTTCCCTGTGTGTCTTTAACCTGCAGACTCTCGAGGATCACGTTGACATTTTTATATTCGATGCCTTTAAAAGGCCATAGTGAAATGGAAAATGTGCCAAAATGAATAAAGACTAATTAATGAAGCCTTCACTTCCGTTTATCCTGTAATCATCGTTAATGGTAAGACTTAATTCTAGACTTCAGAGAAGTAAAGAAACTCATGAGGATGTTCAGCGATGAAAAGAAAACTTTTTTGGCATATGGACATGATCTACAATTGTTCACATCAATCCTGCGCCTGCCTTTGGAAATGTACTCATCCTTAAAACAAAACATGCCAGATATCAAATATTTTGCTATAATAAAATTTAACTAAATAGCTTGTAATATTTCTTAAATTGACTGATATAAATTTATAGGCATGCTCTCTGATAGAACTAATATGCAGTCAACTATATCAAAAATTAAGTAGAAAACTATAAAAAATTTTTAACAGTATACTGCTGTTGATACTACCTAAACTCTGTTTTGCAATAAAATCTTCAGACCATTTTTTAAAAAGTTAATTCTGAATTTTACTTACAAGCACTTCGACCTATCAAGAGAAAGAATTCATTGCCCACTGACTTTGTATGCTGCTGTGTCTAACTCCATTGAAGTATAAATGCAAAATAACAGGAACCATAGATGAAGAGTCTAGCAAGACCAAGGCAAGGCCAATCTTTGAAGAAAGCAGGGTCTACAATGAAAAAGAATTTCAAGTTAATCACAACTTTATACAGTATCATAAAATCATGCATAAATACTTCAAAATGGCACCTGAAATTCGTAAATCATCTATTACTGAATGATTAAGATATTGGGCTTTTCTTTATTGCAACATTTATAGTATAACAGCAAAGAACTTTGCTAACAACAAAGAAGGCATTTTTACCATTAAGCAATAAAAGACAACATAACCATAACTAGGACTGGAGAGATGACTCAGAAGGGAAGAGTACTTGTTCTTGCCTGGGACCTGGAATTGATTTCCAGCACCCACACAGCAGCTCACAGGCATCTGTCAATCTAGTTCCCAGGATCTGGTACCCTCTTCTCACCTCTCTGGACACCAGACAGGCACATGATACACAGCTATCTATGTGAGCAAAACACTAGTACATATACAATAAAATAAAAGACAATATAACCAAATAATAATAACTGCAAAATCTTTCACAGTGACATGTGATTTTAGTCATTTAATTAGATGTTTAATGAGAGGCTGACCAGTGAACTAAAAGCTATGAAATAAGGACCTAAATTGTTCTTTCAGATTTTCTTATCCACCCAAATTACCATGAAAAGCCTGCAAGCCCCTGCCACCCACATACACATCTTAGCTACTGAAACAAGTCTGTGATAAATTCAAAGTGTATATTCTGGTGACGAGCACAAAAATATTAAGCATTGCCAGTCAACAACTACTATCAAAGAATCTGTAGAACAAACCGGATTATCCAGAGATATGGCTAAGCATATCATTTATAAATTTTCAGAGAGAACAATGGTGCTTACCCTAAATCACAAACAATTTTGCCATGCACTCTGATATACTCTCTAGAGTAAAGCAAAGGTTGGAGAAAATTTTAACTTAAATCACTCAGTAATTTATAAAACTGCACTCTGGTACCCTGTGGTTAGTACTACCTGCTTTTAAGGACACTGTGCAAAACAGCATAATTAATCTATTTATGACAGGTACACTCGTAGGTACACACATGCATCAAACAACTCACATCACACACACACACACACACACACACACACACTCCCGGAACTGTGAAATGCCTGAGTTGCTGGTTTGTTTTTATTGTTTTCATGGACAATTAATCTTCCATGTTTGATTCAACTTTACATTGGTTGCTTGATATTCATCCCATAAAGAGCAGACAGTGGAAAAGCAAACACAAGCATATTAACTTCCCTTATCTTCCAGTCTTCTTGGCCAGACCTCCCCAAGCTCCCACTTTAAACTTTATCTCATTTCCCCTTTCCAAACGACATTGGGAGAGCAAAGTAAAAACAAGACTATTAAGGAGTTGAGTTTATAAGTTCTGCTTTAGTATCATTTCACAGTAAATGTTCTCTTTAGGCTAGCAGAAGGCAGGCAAGCGCTCTGACAAGCCCAATAGAACCCTTTCTAAAGAAAAACTGTAAACTACATGCTAAATTTTGTTTTGTAATATTTAGTCGTGAAAATAACTTTGAAGCCTCTCTGCCCAAATTAAGCTAATTAAAAGACAAAAGAAGATGAAATAATTCTCAACTATAAACTGGGTCTTCACTACAGTTGCTTCTCCTTCCGGAGTTAGGTGTTATAATGCCGCCTCTCTCCCTGAACGGGTGTGCAAGGCCACTCGCTATTCATTCTTAGGTGAAATGCCGGGGTGGATTCCTACGAGCCTTTAGGTTCAATCCTTTTTTGCAATGAATGACTATATTAATGTTATTCCATATGCATATCTGTTCAATGACATTACATACACTGCTTATTAGTTATTATGAACTAAGCCAGCGGCACTCTAACTGATGCCTAAATAAATGAAACTCATCTTGGCATACCTGTTTTCTCTGTAAAACACACCAGCCTCTTCATACTTGGAATCACTATAGAGCAACTGGGTACTCAGTTTAGGCCCTGTCTGAGTGGCCACTGAAAACATGCAGAACCCGCGGCACCAAACAAAACGTAAAAAGAGCATGTTACTGAAACCCCAAACAAGACAACCAACACCTTTGACTTCAGCTGAGAATGTGCATGTACCACATTCAAAATTTCCAATGCCATGTGCAAGGTCACCAATGACTAAAATGTGTGGCCAGATATTGATTTGGGGGATTATGAATAAACTTGAGCAAACAGGACATTAACACATCTAATATATGAATAATGTGAGTTAGCTTATGCCATTCCCTTTATTGAAGGCTGCATTCTTCCATCTTTTCCCACATATCGACTCCTTCCAATTAGAACAAATATAAGCCTTGGCGCCATCACTGGTGCCTCCAACCACTGGCTTAGCATAGCTGAACCCCTGGGTTCAATCCTGAGGTCAGGAAGGTATATATGTCTTGGCTAATGACTAGCAAGTTGATTAATTCTATGAATTCATAATTCAAACTTTAGCAAGCACAGGAGCAGACTCCCCTGGAGAATTTTTTTCTATACATGTTAAACAAAAAGAAGAAGAGCAACCATTTTTTCCAAGGCAAAAATGGGTAATCTCTGTTTATACCTAAATTTATACAAAACGTTTTTCTTAAAAACTCAATCTGATGTGAAATAAGGAGAATCTTTCCTCCAAAAGGTCATTCATTTTAACTATGGACTACCCAGAAAAATTAAATCCTATCAAATCAAAAAACATAAAATTAAATTTATTCTTTATTCTTATAAAATAAAATTTAGCAAGAGTCTCAGATTAGGATTTGCATTGGGCGAAACCTTCCAAGTAGGAACTGAAAAGCTCCCTAAGCCACCAGGCCCTTTAACCCATCCACTAGGTAGTGAGGACTGCAGAAGAGATGCGCTCCGACTTCCCTGCTGGACACCTTCCCAGTGGATTCAGAGCTATGGATTTTCTCTCCCAAAGTACAGAGTGTGGCTGGGGCCAAGGTTTCTAAATGAGCGTGCAGTTACTAGTGCATAAGCATGAACGGAAGAGCAAATGGCTCAAAAAGGAATAAAAGCACTTCTCGGAGTGCGAAAAGAAATGTCAAAAGGGGATGGGGCGGGGGGACTAAAACCTGGGCAAAATCGGAGGCCCTCTTCTAAAAGCTGGTCCTGCTGGCGCAGGCTCGCACTCGCGCCCGCGCTCCCGAGACCTAGCGGAGCGCAGGGCGGGCCGCGGGGACCGGTGCGACAGGTGGATGGCCTCGTGGGGCCCGATCGGGGGCGACGGAAGGAAGGATATGAGGGTAACGACCCGCGCCAGCCTTTCTTTCCTCCTCCATTAACTCACCAAGTAAACCACCCAGAGAAGACCAGGGAGAGGAAGGGGAAAGAGAAGCAGCTCGGGCACCGCCAAGGTAGCCTCAGCCGGCCCGCCCGCCCCAAAGTCGCCGCATCTGCGCCTGCGCCGACTGCGCCGCTAGGTCGGCCACGTGACCAACACGTCCGGCTCACTGGCCCTCGGCTCCTCCCCTTCCCCGGCTGCTCGCTCCGCCCCCGCAGGGACGCAGCCCGCGTGTTGGAGACTATTGTGTGACGCCTGCGCACCAGCCATGCTCCCTGTTGTAGAATTTTTCTTCTCAGATGCACCGAATAATAAAAGAAAATAAAATGAGTGGTGGTGGGGGCATTATTTTCATGTCGTCTTTCCCAAAGGCGCAGGAACGTTCTTACGTATTTCTCAGGCAGCGTGGGGAGTTACAAAACAGGGACCAGAGAGAACCAGCCCGCCGCTACCCGTTTCCTAGCAACTGTTTCCACAGCAACCACGCAGTCAACAACGCTAGGCCGTCTCTGGAGGAGCGGAATAGGTTCTTCCCGAAAAGGAGTTGCTATGAAAGGGTCAAAGGGAGATTATTATACGAAAGAGAAATTTTAGTTCCTTGTTAAGAGAGCAAGAAAAGAAAAAAGCGGCGAGAAAAGGAGCAGAGACAGTGGGATAGGGAGTCAAAAGTTGAGTAGTTGTTAAAGAATCCTCGGTGGCCATGGACCCACCCTGCACTTCCGAGAGTATTTATAACCTCATACCCAATGACTCAAAGGAGCCGCCCCAGCCTCCTAGGTATGTGGTAAGCAAAAGTGACCAGCTCAAAGGAAGACTGTAAATCTTCCTTTTAAGGACTTACTGGGTTTACACATCGTAGGACTTTTAAAATTAAAATATATTTTTGTGTTAATGAGGTAACCTTGTGTGGCAACTTCTTAGGAACAGGTGAACAGGTCTGTTTAGCTTTTCATAATCTCAGAGAAGGCGGGCGGGTGCTGTGAGGTGGTAATTTTATGGCCATAGTCTCCTGCTAATACGTAATTATTGATTCAGTTTGGTGGTGTGGTGTCCAGTAAGAAATTTCATGTCATTGAAAAGAGAAATATCAGTTTTATTAATAAGTTTTAAGAAATTCTATGTCTAACTTTAAGTTAAATTCCATGTTGTATTTGACATCACGATTTCTCCTTCTGTATTCTTTGCCTCCTTTACCTAAATTCTCATTTGTTTCTTACTTGAATTAGTTAAGCAAAGATGATGAACTAGGGAGTATTTTCTAGGATTTTTTTTTTCAGATCTTATGGTTTAATGGAAGGAATATAGTTGGATGGATAGAGATTCCAAATTATATAATTGAGGGAATTTTTAATGTATTTGTTGGACCCCTACAAATCTCCAAATCTCAAAAAGGAAACCGCAAAATAAATATCCCAGATACGCTGCCCTGTAACTATTTTTTAAACTCTATTGAAGCCTGAGGGAGGAGAAGAGGGCAGTCTCATTTTGACTCATGAAAGTAGCAGCTACTTTAAAAGAATCAGCACCCAGAAAGCTGAGTTCAAGGCTAGCCTGAGCTACAAAGGCAGACCTTGTCACTAAAACCAAACAACCAAGAAAAGAAGCCAACCCTCTGAGCTTTAAAAATCAGATTTACAAGTTATTTTGAAGGTGTTCAGCCAATCTTCAGTTGTTTTCAGATTTGAACAATAAGTGAAATCGAATCTCTGAGGTCAACTTCTTGTTGCTTGGAGTGTGGCAGCAAAGTGGGCTCCTTCTGCTTTAATCCTGAGTAGCTTAAACCAGAGGAGTCACAGACATTATACTTCCACCTGTTTATCAAAATCTGGTCGAGGTCAGGCAGTAATGTGAATGCTGACACACTGTGGAGTTTACAGGGTTCACATTACTTATGGCTAAATTCGGTTCAAAATTTCCCTATGCTGTACAAGATAAGCATCTGCCTCTCTGTAACATAGTGAAAGAAACTACCTTCTGTGAAATTCTGAATTTGGATGTCATATTAGTTTATTAGTTAGCATTCTGTTAATTAGTAAAGTTTTTCTGCACCTGGGAAACAGTCATCATCTGTCCCCTGCTCTGTGTATAACAGTGCCCTAGGAGTCTTGCACATGTGGGAGTGACAGCATACATTTTTTTGTTTTATTCTGAAAAAAAAAAGTACAAAAAAGGGACTTAGGATGAGCAGGAATAAAGGAGGTGCCCTAAATAATTCTGTTAGGTGAAGTCAATTTTCACAGTTAGCAATAATAGTGAGAGGGTTTTGACAAGATGCCAGACATGCAAACTACTGATTTGTTTCTTAAAAATGATGCCCAAACACTTTACCACGTTCCTTCACCACACTAATATGAACTTCTTCCCCTCAGCCATCTCCTTTATAGCCTTGATCACAAGAAAAGCTTTAAATGTGCAAATCCTGTTTACAACCCTGAATAATAATAATCCGAGCTCCCGGGGAGCTTGCCATGGGTTGAAGCACTGGCTCAGACTCATTTCTTGCTACACTGTGATGTCCCACATGTCACAGATAAAAATTTTCTGGTTGAACAGAAATATAAACATTAAATTGCGGATTAAGCACAAAGTAATATATTATTTAAAACCCTAATGAAAGTTTCTAATAAATGAGTGGAAGAGATATTTGAAAAACAGCAGTTTCCACTTTCTGACCTATGAAGAGAAGGTCGCAATTACAGGTGGGGTTTTGTCAACAAGGAAAATTGCAGCTGCCATGTTCATCTGAGTCACCACCTTTTACCCACATTTCTGTAGATAAGAAGAACTGTTAGCACACCTCACTGGAATTCTACATACAAACCACCGAGGAAAGAAAACATGCCAACACAGCCAGTTAAAGTGAGCTGCCAGGAAAATTTGTAGATAAGTGAACCTGTTCAGAACATTATTCAATTACAGAACAAGGTTTGCCCTCTTATGCAAACAACCTGTAATATGAAATTGTGATATGAAAAGTCATTTTAAGACATCAGTTGTTAGATTCACCAGAATTCAAACTTTTAAGTGAGTAAGCCTGTGTCTTTATTCTATCCAGGACTCAGTAAAAACAAAGTATTAAATTAATTTAGTTTTAAAATTTAACTGAGCTGGGCATGGTGGTACACACCTTTAATTCCAGCACTTGGGAGGCAGAGGAAGGCAGATCTCTAAGTTCAAGACCAGCCTGGTCTACAGATCAAGTTCCAAGACAACCAGGGCGACACGGGAGACAACAGGGCTACCCTGTCTCAGAAAACAAAACAAAAAAAAAACATTAATATACATGTCTACTAGTAAGAAGAAACAGTTGCAATGGTACTACCCAAAGAATGATGTCCATCATACTATTACTGCTGGTGTTCCAGACCACTCTTTTTCACCATCATCATCTGTTCCCACAGTTCTATAGATAATCAGTATATTTTAATTTTACGGAAGAGAACACTTGGGTCCAGAAACTCGAGGCGGGTAAGAAGGGCAGGAGCTAAAACAGATGTGATACCAGTCGGACAGCAAGGTCCAAAACTGGATCAGTCTGCGCATGCCCAGAGAGAGAAAGGGGGCCTGGAGGAGTGCAGCTGCTTCCGTAAGAGTGTTTGCCTCTGCTATTGATAGCGTCTCACGTATCGGACACTGGTGAGTGTCCATACACTGTTCTCTTCCCATACAATAAGAAGTGTTGTGATGAGACTACCAGAGAGAAGAGAAATGGTGACATAAAACTGCGGTGGCATTACAGATGAGGAACGTGGAAGGTGAGCTTGGAAGTCTTGTATCTGTCTGTCTCGTGTTTGACTCACAGCTACCAGAAAGCCGTCAGTCATCCGCAAAGAAAGAAATATGCTCCAAGTCATATGTCACAAGCAAAAGTTAAACTGTAGCTGAGCAGAAGTATGGCGTTCTTTATCGGGAGCCGTGGGTTCCTGGACAGAGGACACGTTTTGGGATGAGGACAGGGGTCAGCATCAGTCCCACAATTAATGTGCCGTGCTTCAATGGTCTAATATTGGCCCTAGTGCCAGCATAATTTAATGAAAACAATTTGAACAAAAAAATGCAGTTCCGTAGTTAAATTGGGTATATTTTCTGGTATTTGGTACAACACTGTCCAATAGAAATGTAAAACACTAAAAATATTTCCTTAGTCCTTTTTAAAAGAAAGCAAAAGCAAAATCAAACTTTATGAGGTATGTTGTTTAGTTCAATGACTTCACTACCATCCTTTCAGCATGCGGCACTAGCCCCGTTTCAAGTGTTTAATATCCACAAGTATCGAGCAGCAGGAACCTGGAAGAGTACAGTGACTGCGCTCACATTTGACAACTATTTTTTCTCAATAGCTTATGAGAGATCATAACGTCGCTCAACGAAGCACCCCTGCATTACTGGTGATAAATTGAATACAGAGCATACCTGTCATAACTAACCACTCTGGGAGTAGAATATCATCTATTTTTGAAAAATTCATTACTTTATGTAATCAAAAGGATGAATTGAAAATCATTTCAATGGCTGTGTGTGAACTTACACAGTATGTAACTATATGTGAAAACAGTCTCAAGAATACTCTGGAGGACGTTCTAACACAGTTCAGGCTCCAGAGTTAATATCCACTAAAATCCAAAGCAAATGCACATGCACTCTTCCCCCGCACACCATGGTTTCTCAGGTGTCTCCTTCAGTAAAAGGGGAATCTTGGCTTCTTTCATATTATCAGCACGTTTCAGCATGTTACCTCTGTGTGTGTCCTTTTAAATTTATAAAATGGATCACTATATGGTGATTGTTAGCAATAAAAAGTTATAGTATCTTAATTGAGGATGACAGTTTTAATTTCAAAGTAAGTCATATCTAATTCAGTCTAAAATGAGTAAACAATGAATTCACTTGTCTGATAAAACTGCCTGCTAAATCTTTATAGTAAAGCCTTATAATTTCAAACATGTAATGAAATGCAGCTATTTAAAATAATAAGCATAGCTGGACAGTGGTGGCACATGTCTTTAATCCCAGCATGGCAGGCAGAGGGAGACAGAGCTCTGTGAGTTCGAGGTCAGCCTAGTCGACAGAGCCCCGATGGAGGAAGGTAATTGGTTAAGTAATAAAGAAACTGCTTGGCCTCATAGGTTAAAACATAGGCGGGAGGAGTAAACAGAACAGAATGCTGGGAGGAAGAGGAAGTGAGCTCAGACTCGACAGCTCTCCTCTTGGGGGCAGACACCTCAGAGAGATGCCATGCTCCCCTCTCCTGGGCAGATGCACACGATGAAGCAAGCCACCAGGTCAGACATGCTGAATCTTTCCCGGTAAGACCGGTGCTACAAAGTTTATTAGAAATGGGTTGATTGGGATATCAGAATTAGCCTGTAAGGGCTAGAGCTAATGGGCCAAGCAATGTTTAAAAGAATACAATTTGTGTGTTGTTATTTTGGGGCATAAGCTAGCCAGGCGGCCGGGGTGCTGGGGACGCAGCCCCGCTGCTCCTGTTACAACAGAGCCCTGTAGTTGGATTTTCTTTTACTCTAGCTCCACGTTGGAACACCAGAACGTTGTTGATTGGTTATTTATTTATTTATTATACAGTTTTCTGTCTGCATTGTGCCTACACCCCAGAAGAGGGCACCAGATCTCATAGATGATTGTGAGCCATCATGTGGGTGCTGGGAATTGAACTCAGGACCTCTGGAAAAAACAACAGCCAGTGCTCTTAACCTCTGAGCCATCTCTTCAGGCCCCTGTTGGTCATTTTTTACTCTTATTATTCTTACTCTTTGCTCTTTGGTCTTTTTTGGGGGTTGGGGGGGGGCTGCGGCCCAGCTACCAAATAAATACACATAAAGGCTTGTTCTTATTCTTATTATAAATGCCTGACCTTAGCCTAGCTTCTTTCTAGCCAGCTTTACTCAATTTAAATTAACCCATACACCTTTAGCCTCTGGACTTTCATTTTCTGTCTTTCAGTATCCCTTACTTTACATCTTGCTCCCGTAGCTTGCTGTGTAGCTGGGTGGCTGACTCTGGAGTCATCCTCTCGTTCTCTTTCTCCTTCTCTCCTCAGATTTCTTCTTCCATTATTCTCTCTGCCTTCCAGGACTGCCTATCCTTTCTCCTGCCTAACTGGTGGCCGTCTTATTACATCATCAGCTGTTTTTAGACAAAAAATAATAGCTTCACAGAGTTAAACAAATGCAACATAAAAGTGTGAAACACATTTTTGCATGGCTAAAACAGATGTTCCACTGCATAAACAAATGTAACACACCTTAAAATGTATTCTGCAACAAAAGTGAGTTCCAGGGCAGCCAGAGATACACAGAAAAACCCTGTCTTGACAAAACAATAATAATAATCTAAATATAAATAAAACAATAAGCTTTGTATATACTGATATAAAAATGTATCACACTATACCATACTTTAAAAATAAAGTTGCATATATCCATGTACATATATCCATGAAACAATAAGTAGTGTAAAATAGTCCATGAATCTGATAAAGAGCAAGAAGAGTACATGGAATGGTTAGGAGAAAAGAAAGGAAAGCGAGAAATTATGTAATTATAGTCTAAACCTCAAAAAAAAGCGAAAGAAATATATATGTGTAAAGTTGAGAATTTTGATGTCCGTTAGTGCACTGTGGGGAAGAAGAAATTAAAAAGAAAGACTACAACACCAAATTAAAGTTACAATTCATATAGATAAACAGACACTGAACTTATACCAGAAAATTAACTGGAGAAATGAAAGGAATGAAGGGAAGGAAGCCAAGATTATTGCTCATTTGCAATTAATTTGAAACAAAAGATGTTACCAATATAGAATAAAATATCAGCCAGCACTTTATGTAACCAATGAGTATGTTTTCTATTCATATACATGGGAAAAGTACTGAGTCACCAGTTTTCAAACTAAGAAGGAGGTGGCTATAGACACACCCTGCTTCACATAAAAGGAAATCACGTCATTGATGATGACACCTCTGCCTACTTCCACAGAAGCTAAAGGCACAGGTTTGGCCTGATGATTGCTTCCTGAAATTGTCTTATGATTCATTCATTTCCATAATGTTCCCAACTACTGAGTTCACGGGTAAGGAAAGGCCCAAAAGCCTAGAAACAGTTTGTTTTTGCAAACACACTTGTGTGTCCACGTGAGCATGAACTGATGAAGGCAGGATAACTGACGTGGAGAAGGGGGATGTGATCAGAGTGGATTTCTACAAATATGAGAGTGACGAAGTTAAAAACCCAAGTTAGAAACAGACAGGGAAGAAAACAGATTTCCCCAAACTCCACATCCCCAAGGTAAATAGTTAAATTTAGTGTATTTGCTTCCAACAATATTAGTGCAAACATTTCAATATGTTTATAACTTGGATAGACATTGTATGTATAATTTTCATAACATCACTAGGTCCTGGGAATTTTCAAAGTTATTGACTATTCTACAAAAAGAAATCTATTTTTAATTATTTTAAAACCAAAAAATAGGAGAGCCTAGCTTCTGCCTCCAGCAAGGGTGGGGTTTGTTGTCTCACCAGAAGCAGCTTGGACAGGTTAAAAACACACAGAACCAAAGATTTCAAACCCTGGACAGTGGACACACAGCTCAGCCCTCCCTAAAGAATGGGGCTGGCTTGCAGTTGCCCTAAGAGACACTCCAGGGACAACTTTCTGGCCACAGTCCAGAGAAAGGAAACAAAGCCCTTGATTATCCCGGAATTATGAGGACAGTTTGGAGCTGAAAAGACAAAGCAGCTATAATTCACATCATGGCGCAGCAGAGAGCTGCCTAGACAGGAACCCACACGAGGTTTCCTTGAACTCCTTGATTGATAGTGTGTATGTGTGATGAAATACAACACCAAGAAAATGACCCTCGGAAAGCAGCAGCTCCAAGTTCATCCGCTTACAGCTAGAGTGGTGAGGTCTCCTTATTCAGAGCGCATTGACATAGGGCAGAATTCGAGCAAAGCTCCCAAGCTGAAGACTTGACATCTAACCTGAAAATTACCACTTTTTCCAACTACGACAACTGCCTTCCAGACTCAAACTAAAGAAATGTTAAAGCAATAAAAAAAGAAAAAAGTTAAATAAAAAAAAAAAGACAGAAGTCAGGAATCAACACTATAAAATTTGCATTACTTGGCATCCGATAAAATACGTACAGGCAAGCCAGGCATGCCTTAACTACCCATACCCAGGAAGCAGAAGCTGGTGAATCTCTGTGAATTCGAGGTCAGCCTAATCTTCAAAATGAGTTCTAAGACCGACACAGCTATGTAGAGAGACCCTGTGTTAAACAAATAAAAAGAACAAAAATGTACAGGCATGCAAAGAAACAGGAAAATATATATCCTAAAAGAAAAGCAGGCAATCTAAACAGCTAGAAATATCACAAATAAGAAAATTACAAGTCAAAGGCATTTAAGGCAGACATTTTAAATATCATGTCCAAAGAGGTAGAGGGATGCAGGAATAAGATAAGAAGAGATGAAAGGGGGGGATACAAGTCTAACTTTCAGATGTGAAGAAGACTGTCCAAAATTAAAATATTGGGTGGGGTCACTAATAAAGAAAACAAAACAAATTTTAAGACGCCACAGCAACACAAATGAGACATGGAGAATAAAGAGAACAGCGCATCGCGAGCTAAGGACAATGTCAGCCAGCCTCTAAGTCAGGCGTGGTGATGCATACCTTTGATCTGCAGGAATCAGTCTCTCTTTCTACCATGTGGTCCCAAGGATCAAAACCTTCCTGACAAGTCTCTTAACCTGCTGTGCCATCTCACCAGCCCACAATATAGACTAAAAGGCACAATAAAATGAAATGACACAGACATACAAAATAAAAACAGTGATTGGCTAAAATTCCTATGTAGTCTATGAGAACATCCCTCTAACAATAAAAACATCAAGTTCAAGAGTCAGCTGATTCAGTGATCTGGCTGGCTTAGGCAGGTGTCCCCTCCTCACCACCTCACGTGTGTCCTTCTCCAAGCCATGTACTAGAAAGGGAAGGATGAGGTAGGGAGGCCATTCTCCAGTCACGGAATGCAGTTGCGATGCTAGCTGTGCCTTGTCTAGGCCGCAAGCGCTCCAGTGGATACAGATGCAGCAGTATCTAGTTCCAGTGACTGAAGTCACACCAAGTCCATTCCCCCGCTACAGTGGAACTAAATGGGAAGCCTGAATCTATGAAAACAGAGCAAACACATATGAGCATACTTCTAAAGGAAGATGATAAAAAAGACATTTAGGGTTGCATGAAAATGGAAGATATCTTTCCTTTCCTTTCCTTCCTTTCTTTCTTTCTTTCTTTCTCTTTTTTCAAATTTTTATTTTTTCTGAGACAGAGTTTCTCTGCAAAGCCCTGGTTGTCCTGGAACACATTTGGTAAACCAGGCTGGCTTCAAACTCATATTTTCCTGCCTCTGCCTCCCAGTGCTGAGATTAAAGGTGTGTGCCTCCAAGTCTGGTAAATGATGCCCTTTCAAATGTTTGGGATGCAGCCAAGGCAGTGCTTAGAGGAAAATTTATAACTTTAATACTCAGAGAAAGTTCTAAACGTTAAAAACCAAATATATCTTAATAAACTTTTTAAAAGTACATGTAAAATGAGGGGACTGAATATTAAAGAGCGATGAAGAAATCACTGAAGGGAAACACGAGTGAGCATTAGAGAAAAACAGCGAATGTGGGTTCATTGCGAAGATGATTCAACCGCTGGCAAGACTGAGTGGCTGGGGCTTTGGGGTGGGGGAGACACACATCACTAAGGTCAGCAGTGAGAGAGGAGACATCCCAGTCGATGCCGGAAATAAATGAACACCTTTGTCCCGGCACCTCCTACAGCCTGTACTTCATAAATGTGGTGGGTGGAGTCAGACCATTAAGCCTTTCTGCCCAATCTCCATTATCCATCAGAAATGTATGCCTGTTCATAAGCTTTAAGTATTTTGCACTAGATATGTAAATGCTACGATCTTAATTTTTTAACTTCAGGTATACATCAGTGTTTAGACCAGCTGTAAAAGATGACATGAAGAAATTCAAAACCGCAATGAAAACTATGGGGCCTGCGAAGGTTGACGTGCCTTCCCCAAAGGATTTTCTAAAGAAACACTCAAAGGAAAAAACCCTACCGCCTAGTAGGTTTAATCTCTTACTGTGTTAAACGTTAGAATTATTGGCAGGTGATTTAGTAACCCCGTTATTTTGCCATCAACAAGTATTAAATATCCAGAGGCAGCAGCAACTTTACCTCCCAGGGAATGGGGCTTGGGCGACGTGGAGAAAGTGCGAGTGGGAAGAGTAAATGAGCGCAGAGGGTGGTGCCGGCTCCACAAGGACTCCTGGTGAGGCAGGCATCTTGAGCTACTTCTTGGCCTATCCAAGAAGCCTCCCCTCCAACACCCTGTGCTCGTTGCTTTCTCCTGGATTGTATCTTTAATTGTAAGCGCTTATCAGACAGGTCGGCACCCCATGTATGGTGACTGATTGATGAGCAAGGTTGCCCCTCATCTGGACTCCAGCCTTTTTTATTAAGTGAAGGAAATTACAATGGTCATTACCAGTTGTTGAACCAATATTCGATTGAATTAGGGACCACTCTAATAACTTCTTTATCTAAATTACTTTAGAGACCTTACTCCCAAGTAACATTCACATCCTAAGGTACTGGATCAATTGGTTCAATATATAAATTCTGGAAAGAAATGTCAGCCCCAAGAAAAGATTAATCGAACCCATAGACTTTTAATAGTAATTACATATTTCCCTTTAAAAATAGAAGCAATATAATCTAACTTGTAACAGGATGCCAGGCCTTAGTAAGCTCCCAGACCTTTGCACAGCTGACTCCATGGTGGAGGCACCATTCAAACTGTAAAACTCAGCATGTAGACAGCACCACCAGCCAAAACTAAAACAAAGACCTAATCCATCAAAGTCCATCGTTCTGAAACGTCTCTAAATGTACTAACTTGCGTTTTGTGCTTAACAGCTCACCCTGAGAAAGGCTCAGTGCTAAGATCTCAAACACCCGGTGTAGTCACTGGCAGGCTAATAAGGACTTTCTAATGGCTTAAACCATGTGTGAGCATCTTCTCTGATGAATGACCCCCACAGCATCACTAAGAAGATACAGTCAGCTAATGCAGAAGTAAATGGAAGCCAGACCATAGCAACCATGGTACAGTTAGGATTGGAGTAAGGTCCTGATGAGTGAGCAGCTGCCTTAGCTCTTAGAAACACACTTCAATTACCTGTCACTTAGAATAGACAACCGTGCTGATGTGGCTATATCAAAATGGCGTTTTGGAACTGTTATACTGAAAGGGCTGTGTTAAACGAAACAGTTCCACCTGCTGCTCTCAGGACTGTGTGCACTAGAGACCAAAGATATGTTTGATGACTGTTCCTTTAGGATGGTGGGACACACTAGGAAGGAAGGAGTAGGCAATCTTGGTCATATTGGTAACCTGTAAAGCTGCATGTTTAATACACAGCAATTACTCATTGTAATGGTTTCTGTGAAAATATCCAGAGATCACTGGGTTGCCAACATCACTTTGTTAATTTATTTAATGGCTTTGTTAGAGTTTTTTCTTAAAAAAATAATACTGACAGCATGCTGAAAATAATCTATTTTATATAAACATATTTTAAATGGGAAAACTGAGTATGTGTTGTAGTCTTTATAAAATCCATCAGAAATATAGTAGTGATCTATCATTATTACCCTCCTACTCTTTTATACTGTTTTTCAACTTCAAATTGATCACATTGCATTTAATTTTATATTTTGAGTATTTGCAGTTGAGGTATAATTGACAAATGAAAGGCAGTACATATGTGATGTACACAAAATAATAATTTTTTAATTTTAAGTATTTAGGTACTTAGTATTAGTGAGACCTCAATACTAGTGGTAAATAACTGGATGACCTAAATAGTGTTGAATAACAATGTTTATTTTCAAACATTAACAATAAAATGTTATATTTAACAGAAAAAAAGTTTAGTAGATGTGTTCCCAAGAAACCTCCAGTGCCCTTGAGGACCGATCATCCAGTCATGGGAATACAGAGTGGAAAAAACTTCATAAACACAAATGCAGCTGATGTCATCATGGGCGTGGCCAAAAAGCCCAAGCCAATTTACGTTGACAAAAGAACTGGAGACAAGCATGATCTTGAGACATCCGGACTATTCCCCAAATACATCAACAAAAAGGTAGTTATTGATCTGTCAGCGAGAGATCAGAGATGCCAAAGTCCTGCAGGGGGTCTCTATGAGATAGGTACACAGTGTGTTCCCTGGACAGACTACAAAGCCTGCCCATTCCCACTGCTCTGCGGTCTGTGTGGGGTTCACATCTAAAACATGAATGTTGTCTTCCTCAATTCCAGTTATTAGTGTATTTAATAACTACAGCAGACATTCTCTAAAAGCTATTAATATCAGTAAGGTAAAAAGGTCACTAAATGCAGCCACTACTGTAAATCCCGAGGAACCCACCTTTCAGGAGGTCTTGGGATGCAGCCATTCAACTTGGGAGCAGAATGAGAGAACTTAGCAGATGAGGCTTCAAAACCACCCAAACTGCCAATCTCTCCAAAACAACCCACATCACTGTTTTAGTGTAAATGCGTTGATTTGAGTTGAATTTGGGTAAAGATTAAGAACGCTGCACTGGGATTCATTATTTGGGTCATTGATTTCGATCTGAAAAAGTCCTCATCAGAAAGGGATGATTTTATCTACCAAATGTTAATTGTTAAAAAGGTTTTTAAATCAAAAATCTTACAAGGAAAGCTATACAAATCCTTCCATATTTATATATTTATAGAGCATAAAAGTATGCTTGTGAACACATCCTAAAAAAGGCTTCAACATCCTAAATATTAATAACAAATAATAGTAAGTTGTGGCCAGAAATAGAGGAAGAATAGAAAGAGGAAGGAGGGAGAGAGGGAGGGAGGGAGGGAGGGACGGAGGGACGGAGGGACGGAGGGACGGAGGGTGGGAGGGAAGAAGGCAGACAGGCAAGAAGGAAAGAAGGAAAGAAGGAAGGAAGGAAGGAAGGAAGGGGAGAGAGAGGAATGGAGGGAGAAAGGGAAAAGGAAAGAGGAAAAGAAGAGAAAATAGTGGGAAGGGGAAGGGATTGGAAGGGAGACTTCAGTAGTGAGGAATGAGTCCAGGTGTCTAGTGATCTACAAACGGCCTCCAGGCTGCTTTCAAACCTTAGCACCCGTTCTCTGGGAAATGGCTCCATCCAGCAGGCCAAGATCACCTCTGGAAGAACTCAGCTGTTTTCTGGTCATTGGCCACATGCTGGGAACTTTACTAAAACTTCTCAGGATGCTTCTTTCTCTTGTGGCACATCTAAGGTGCTTGTGGTTCTTGTCACATCTTTGAGAAAAGTAGACTCCTGGCTCCTTCAAGCTACTTCCAACCCATTATTGATATCTCATTGCCTAAGTTCCCTCTCCTTTGCTGGTTATGTTGGAGACTACTGCACACACCAACTTCTCTCCAGATGTCTCTGTTTATGTTGCCCACGTCAATACATTTTCTTTTAGAAAAGAAAAAAAGTTGAAGTATCCATCACAGACACAAAGATAGCAGATCAGCCTACTAGCTGTGTGTGTTTATCAAGCATAAAAGCAGCACACACTTGTTTTCAGGGTGTTGCTATTCACAGATTTGTTCAACTTTTCACTATTCGGAGTTAGCGAATAGTAAATGAGGTGGGTAGCGTCTCCTTTGATTTCTATGGCTGTGATAGACTCATGATCAAACCAACCCAGGGAAGAAAGGGTTTATTTAATCTTACAGCTTATAGTCCATTATGAAGGGAAGTCAGGAACTCAAGGCAGGAACCTGGAGACAGGAACTGATGCAGAGGCCGTGGAGGGGTGCTGCTTACTGACCTGCTCTCTATGGTTTGTTCAGTTTGCTTTTTTATACAACCCAGGACCTCTTGCCCCGGGGGGGCAACAACACAGTGGTCCCTCCCATATCGACCATTAATCAGAAAATGCCCAGCAGACCTGTTTAGAAGCCAGTTTGATGGAGACTCAAATTTTCTCAATTGAGGTTCCCTCCTCCCAGATGACCCCAGCTTGTGTCAAATGGACACAAAGCTAACCAGCACCAGATGGTATAGGTAAAAAGATTTGAGGAAAAACAAGTGGACTTTTTTTTCTTTCCTTTTTTTGTAGTTTGTTCTAAATGAAGTATATGCTATTTGTGATTTGAAATTATGGACAAAATTAAAAGATGAACGAGCATATGAGGTTTATAACAATAATAGTGAGCTATTGCTTTGAATTTCAGTTTGTCACTTGCTAACTTTGGGATCTGAGACAAGCCATTGGATCGATCATAGGGGTATAGTGAGCATTAAATGACATTAAATAAACTAAGCATATGATGATATCCAGCACCTCATAAAAGCACCAAAGAGAATAGACATTATAATAGAACAATTAGTGATGAGACTCATCAGTCTCCAGCCAGTTAGCTTGTAGGACCACTCAAAATCACTGACACTTTTCCTCATTTGCCAGATTTTTCTTTTCTAAAATGTATAATATCGGTCCCTTTTCTAAACATACTATGCCAAACATAATCTAACCTCTAAAAAGGTATTTTTATTATAGGGCAGGGTGGTCTGCATGTGCCATAGCTCACATGCAGAAGGAAAAGAGGACTTCGTGGTAGTTTCCATGGCTACCAGATCCCGCACTGACTTCCTCAGTGTCACCTCCCTGGCTTCTTTATCTTCAGTTTCTTCATTACCTTCTTAGCTATTATTTTCTTCAGAGCACGCACACCTGTTATTTTATACTTTCCCCTCTCAGTATTACAGGGGGTTGCTTTCAGAACCCTTGTGGGTACCAAAATTCACAAATGCTCAGAGCTCTCTAATGAGTGGCTTAGTGGATGTGTGTAGCATACATAACCTGTTCCAGGCTTTATTTTATCTCTAGATTTCTTAACATAACGAATATAAGGCAAATACTTTGTACATCACTGGTATATGATGCTGTTTAGGGAATAATGACAAGGAAAAGTCTGTACATATTCACCACGAATGTAGTTAAAACTTTTTAAGATTTATTTATTTTTATGCATATGAATAATTTGCCTGCATGTATCTCTGTGCACCATGTGTGTGCCTGGTGCCCATGGAGGCCAGAATAGGTTATAAGGTCCCCTGAAATTGGAGTTACAGATGGTTGTAGGCCACAAGGTGAGTGCTGGGAAGAGAACTCGGATTCTCTGTAAATACAGCCAATACTCTTAACTTCTGAGCCATCTCTCCATACCCAGGTACAGATTTTAAGCGTCCTTTCTTTGAGGTTGATTGAACACATCTTTCTATACAAGAAGAAGAATTCAATGGGGAAAAAACTTTGCTTTTCTATTCACTATTATTTTAGCACTCAATAAATTCTCAAATACTATTTGAGAACTGAACACAGAGAAATCATGTTTCTCTAGATAGTGACAATGTGTTCACTAATTTGAAAGAACCTCAGTTGATGGCCTCACCACCAGTCCCTGTAAGCAGCTCAGAAACCTGAAAACACAGCTTGCCTTTCCAAAATAACCGTAGGGGGCTGAGCCAAGCTTCCTGTAAAGTTGTTATGCATGGGACCATTAAGGGTTTGTTCTTATGGTTTATAAAGGTTTGTCTCCTTTTATTTAACCAGATTATAAAAATAGAGACCTCTGAGATATGAGTTTCAGGTCAAAGTGATTTACATAAAATATAGGAAAGAAAAGCCAACTCTGTGTTTTCCTTAAAGGCTTGTTTTTGTAAACTCTGTATGCATGTGTGTTCTTATGTATGTGAATACAGGCACTACAGGAGCGAGGGGACAGCAAATCCTTTGGGCCTAAATGGTTCTGTACACCTGGGTGTGTGCTGGGGACAGAGCTCAGGTCCTGTGCAAAGGCAGTAGATGCTCCTAACCACTGAGCCTTCTCCCAAGCCCTAGAAAAGCCAACTCCTAAAAGTAAACTTGCTGGTGTGGTGATGTGAGTCTCAGCACTCAGGAAAATGAGGCAGGTAGATATCTGTAAATTGGAGGCCAGTCTGGTCTACATCGAGTCTTCAAGGCCTGTCTTGGCTACTATGTCTAAAAACCAGTATAGACCAGTGGTTCTCAACCTTCCTAATGCTGAGACTCTTTAATACCTTTCCTTATGTTATGGTGACCCAACCATAGAGTTATTTTTGTTGCTACTTTATAACTGTAATTTTGTTGCCGTTATGAATTATAAGGTAAATATTTGTGTTGCCTGATGATCTTAGGCAGCACTTATGAAAGGGACATTTAACCAAAGGAGCTGCCACCCACAGGTTGAGAACCCTCAGGTCTAGAGCTTAAGAACAGACACTGGTGAAACTCTGAAGAGAATCAAAATAAACTGCTACAAGATCTCTGTCCTTTTAGTGGTGTGTGTGTGTGTGTTCTGTGTGTGTCTGTGTGTGTGTGTGTCTGTGTGTGTGTCTGTGTGTGTGTCTGTGTCTGTGTCTGTGTGTGTGTGTCTGTGTGTGTGTCTGTGTCTGTGTGTCTGTGTGTCTGTGTGTGTGTCTGTGTGTGTGTGTCTGTGTGTGTGTGTCTGTGTCTGTGTCTGTGTGTGTCTGTGTGTGTGTCTTTGTGTGTGTGTGTCTGTGTCTGTGTGTGTCTGTGTGTGTGTCTTTGTGTGTGTGTGTCTGTGTGTGTGTGTCTGTGTGTGTGTCTGTGTGTGTGTCTGTGTGTGTGTCTGTGTGTGTGCGTGTGTGTGTGTGTCTGTGTGTGTGTGTCTGTGTGTGTGTGTCTGTGTCTGTCTGTGTGTGTCTGTGTGTGTGTGTGTCTGTGTGTGTGTGTCTGTGTGTGTGTGTCTTTGTGTGTGTGTGTCTGTGTGTGTGTGTCTGTGTGTGTGTGTCTGTGTGTGTGTCTTTGTGTGTGTGTCTGTGTGTGTGTGCGTGTGTGTCTGTGTGTGTGTGCGTGTGTGTGTCTGTGTGTGTGTCTGTGTGTGCGTGTGTGTCTGTGTCTGTGTGTGTGTGTGCGTGTGTGTGTGTGTCTGTGTGTGTGTGCGTGTGTGTGTGTGCGTGTGAGTGTGTGTCTGTGTGTCTGTGTGTGTCTGTGTGTCTGTGTGTGTGTGTCTGTGTGTGTGTGTCTGTCTGTGTGTGTGTCTGTGTGTGTGTGTGTGTGTGTGTACACGTGCACATATATGAAGGTCAGGGGACAACTTGCCTCCACCATGTGGGTCCAGGGATTGAAATCAGATCATCAGACTTGCGCAAACACCTTTACCCACTGAGCCAGCTTTCTGGTCCAGCATCAGCATTTGAAGTGACTGGGATGAACCGGCTTTAACTTGCGGGAAGGGGAGGGTGGAGGATAGGAGAAGGAAATTGAGGGATTTTGTCAATTTTCAGAGGTTTTGTTTGTTAGATCTTTATATATATGACAATAAAATTGCTTGCTCGCGAGTCCTTCGTTGCTATGCTCACACAGAGAAGACTGCACGCAGGATGCTGATTAGTTTTTCTCCGAAAACTCCTCCCAGGATTATGGTGTCACGCCTGAGTACATCTGCAAGCGGAATGAGGATGTCAAGAAAGCCCAAGAAGAGTATGATAACTACATCAAGGAGAACCTTAAGAAAGCAGCTATGAAGAGACTTTCTGACGAAGAAAGGGAGGCGGTTCTGCAGGTGAGCCTCTGGAGTCACTGCTCTCTGACCCTCTAGCCTGCATCGGCTCCATCACTGAAGCCAAGGCTTTGACTTCAGTCAGAAGTGTGCCTTGGGGTCCAGCACAAGTGCACAGAGCACAGTCGACTCATTGGAAAAAGAAAAAAACCTGTAGTGCAGGGATTCATAAAATTATTTCTAATTTGGTATCAGTTGTAAGGAAGCCCATTTTCTCCTACAACAAACTGATACTTTAAAAAGTGAGAAAATAATCACTTTAATTCAGTAAATTTATTTTTTAAAATCTCAGAGATGAGGTATTTTTCACTAGATGGAGCTCTAGAATAATTGAAGCTATCCACATCCACATTTTTTCATTCCAATGATTCAACTTTCCAAATTATTAACTAAATGGGTGTTAGATTTTACATATGTTCCTTCTATTTTGAACAAAGGGGCATAAGACAATTTCCACTGTAGTTTTATGGGAGAGGTCTGTCTGAGTGTGGGGCACCAAGACGAGCAGGGCATGGCGCTGTCGTTTGTGCAGGGCATTCATTAAGCACCTGCTCGTCCTCCTCTGCCACCATGCTGTCCCTTAAAGAAGTGATTCCTTTTAACATTTATTTGAAAGCTCCCTACCAAACAGTACCCAGTGACTTCACAAAACAAGAGGAGACGGTCCAGCAGGAAAGAGTTTTTCTGACAAACGTGGGTACATAGCAAGTGGAGTGTGATGGCGCACGCCTGTAATCCCCAGGCTCCCGTGCCCACACGGAAGTACATAGCAAGTGGAATGTGATGGCGCATGCCTGTAATCCCCAGGCTCCCGTGCCCACATGGAAGGCATCGCTTCATGGTAAAGAAGCTCATGGGCAGTTAGCCTGGTACGTACAAGAGGCCCTGTCTCAAACAAGGTAGAAGGCGAGGATCAATACCTGAGGTTGTCCTGTGACGTCCACGCAGTCATCATAGCACATGCGCCCATACACATGCACACCATAAAAAATCTCTTTCTTTTATTAATTTCTGTTGAAAATGGGTTACATGCCATTTCAGAGTCTTAACATTTAATTGATGGCATCATAATCACCAATAAAATGTTATTAGGTATCTATTTTGTACACAATATTATTAGCCTGTGCCATGAAGATAGCACCAACGGTAAAAGATAATTTTTTGTTATAGAGAATGCTGTACTTTGATGGGTGACTGGGCAGACAGGAATGTGGGATTGTGGATATTAAGGACGTCCCAAGGTGGTAGTCAGCTCCAAAAGAGAGAGATCGTGAGTGAAGCCCAAGAGTGCAGAGTGAGAAACACCCAGACACCAGGTGGGGCTAGAGAACAGGGGCGCCTGTGTTGAGAGGTACCGCCAAAGTGCTGGAAGAGGTGGAGGGGCGATGTCAGGCCGGTCACCTGGAGAAGCGAGGCTTTTAGCTGCAGCTTCAGGAAGCACGCGCTTCTGCAAAAGCCAGGTCATGATACCTGCGTGACACTGGAAAACGGTAACAGGGAAGGTCTTCCTTAGAGATTGCAAAGGCTCTTCCCTCCTGTGCCTTGTGGATGTAGTGGAGAAACCTTAGATTTCCTCTTCTGGTCACCCCAGAACCTCTCTTGGTGCAGCAATGGCAAAATGGTGACTCCTTCTCAGAATGCCCCACTCCCTAGCCAGTTACCAAGCCAACTGCTGTCCTCCAGACCAGCCCAGGACCTTTCTTCCCACCCATTTCAAGGATGCAGGGTTCTGTGGCACTGCAGGTGTATGCCCTGAGCTCACCTTCATAAAAGTCACACCTGGGAGGGACCATCTCGTCTGATGATCCCAAACGCCTCATTTTACAGACGAGCAGAGTAAATGCTGACTCATCTGTATGCTCATCTGGTCCTTCTTTGTGGACATCCATGTGTTTAGGGGCAGGAGGATAACACAGGGTAAGCACAGTCCTTACTCTCGTAAGCTCTGACTCTAGCTGTACTTGCCTTTGGTCACATATTGTCAGGACTAAAGGCACAGCTAACACACACAAGGCGGATTCATGTTGGGTTGTGAAGGAAGCTTTAGAAGGAACTATAATAGAAGTGAAGTCCAGTGAAGGAAACCAGCAAGGCCCTAAGACCTCCAAGACTAGGGACACGGAAGTTCAGCACCAGGTACAGGTATGAGAAAAGTGAAGGACTGTCAGTGTTCTCGGAACTTAATGCGCTGTAGAGACCTCCCAGCACAAATAAACACAGCTGAAGTATGTGCGCAAGTGCAGAAGGCAAGGGGTAGAGGCCCAACCTTTCCTCCTCCCACCAGAGCTGCTTTAAACTCGGAGGACAGAAGAACAAAAAGCAGGAGACCCACAGAGTCAGCTGGACCCTAGCTGTGTCTGTTACAAGGCAGGGTGGGAAGGTGGAGAGTGTTTGGGAACCAGGGGTCCAGAGACAGGGATCAGAAGGCTTTTTTTTCTTATGGATCATGGCTTGCACTCTGAATTTTTACATCATGAACAATATTATTCCAGTACAAAAACAGGAGAAAGAAAAATAAAAAAGGGAGAAATGTCTATTGCTACAATGGAGAAAAGACTATTTTATAAGATAAAGTAAACAAAAATAAAAGGTTTGAAAATCGCAGAGGCTGCATCACCATGATACAAAATTCTATTGCGTTTCCATCCCTAGCTGTTGGCTTTGATCCAAACTCTGCTGTACGTTCTCGGAGTTAAAAGCAAGCTATCTTTCAGAAAGAAAGCCACAGGAAAAGATGTGCTTCTGGGACAGCAAGTAATGTGAAAATATTCCCCGACTCGCTTGGAAACCCTTTGATATCTGAAAGTGTATAAATGTGTACATTTTCTCTCAGAGATAGACACCCTGTGGTGCACTGTGGAAACATGTTCGGGTTGCGTAATGAAGGACCAGAGGGAAGCAGAGTTCCTCTGAGAACGGATCTTCAGGATGCATCTCATGTGCTATTAAAAGCGGCACTGACCCATCTCCCTCTTGAGAGAGTTAAACCTGGGCAACAATGGCCTCTACCTTTCACCATCCCCAGATCTCTGGTTTAATCTGACTCAACAAAGGCCCAAACCACCTGTTCCATTTCCCCAACCAATGTATCTTATGTAGTGTATTCTATCTTTTCATTGCTTTACCTAAATACAGAATTAAATCACTGAAACTCCATTGCCCCCCAAAGGATTCTATTCACTGCGATGTCCTTGTTATATAAGAAACTTCGAACCCTCTTTTCCCCACTTATTTTGCTTAGCATGAATTACTTACACAAGTTAGTGTGTATCACTGTGACATTTTTCATGCACGCACTTAATGTGCTTTGATTGTTTCCAACCCTTCATTGCCTTCTGTCTCCTCTCCCTCCTACTGATCTCTTTCCCTTTCTATTTCCTTGTCTTTTTGTTACTGTAGTAGTTTGAATATAATTGGCCCCCATAATATCATAGGGAGTGGCACTATTAGGAGGTGTGGTCTTGTTGGAGGAAGTGTGTCACTGTAGGATGGCAGAAGGGGGACTTGAGATCTCCTGTGCTCAAGATATAGCCCAGTTTCTCAGTGTACTTCCTGTTGCCTGCTTATCAACATGAAGCAGCTCCTTCTCAGGTACCGTGTTTGCCTGCACACTGCAACATTCCCCGCCATGACAATGACGGACTAAACCTCTGAAACTGTGAGCCACCACCTCAATTAAATGTTTTCCTTTATAAGAGTTGCCATAGTCATGGTGTCTCTTCCCAGTGATAGGAACCCTAACTAAGACAGTTACCAGTTTTAAAAACTAGCATCAATGATGGGGTTCAGTATGCATTTCACACATATGTGGCTTGATACTCTGTCCTAGCTTTTTCCCCTCCCCTAAGTGACCATACGCTGGCCTGCTCTGGCCAATCCCTTTCCTCACAAATAGCCCTCCCTTGCTTTCATGTCGCATGGTTCCATCATCTCTTTCTACTGCTTTGAGTAAGATTTCTTCCTCCCCACTCAAGACTTCTCTCTGATCATATGACACACACACATGCACACACACATTGGGATTTTATCTTTATGTTCTCTTTATGAGGGAGAAAATATAATATTTGTCCCTAAAAGTCTGTACTATTTCCCTTAAAATTGCTATTTTTAAGTGTTATCCTTTCCTGCAAATGGAATGCTTTTGTTTCTTTAAGGCCTGACACACATGTGTGCACACATTTCTTTAAGGCCTGACACACATGTGTGCACACATTTCTTTAAGGCCTGACACACATGTGTGCACACATTTCTTTAAGGCCTGACACACATATGTGCACCCTTTCCCATTTTCCTTATCTCCTGGTCTGTTAACAGAGATCTGGGTTTGTTTCCTTTCCTACCTCTTGTGAATACTGCATAAATAAGCATGGAAATGCCAGGATCTCTCCAGTGTGTTGGTTATGAGTCCAGCTGGTACTTAACCAGGATTGATGCAGCATTTCTATAGTGGCTGTACCCGGTTCATCGTCCTACAGCAGCTGTAAGGACTCCTCTCCCCACATCCTCACCAGTCTCTGTTGTCATTTATGTTTCTGATCCATCCAAAAGGGGTGAGGTGGGATCTCAAAGAAGTTTTAATTTGAATTTCCTTGGTGGCTAAGGATGTTTTAAAGATATTTATTGGCTAGCGTTTGTATTTCTTCCTTTGAGAACTATTTGTTCAGTTTCTTAGCCAAAGTACTGGTTGATTTGTGATTGTTTTTGTTCCCCATTCTGAAGACAATCTCTTCACTCTGATGATTGTTTCCTTTGCCATGAAGAAACTTTTCACACATTTTAAATTTATCTTGCATGTATGGGTGTTTTTACCTGCAGAGTGTGTGTGTGTGTGTGTGTGTGTGTGTGTGTGTGCAGCTCATAGATGTCTGGTGCCCACCATAACCAGTCAAGTTGTTGAATCCCCTGGAACTGGAGTTAGATGGTTATGAAATACCATGTGGGGGTTATAAATCAAACTGTGGTCTTCTAGAAGAGTCCTCGCTCCAGACCCTGAAGAAGCCCTTTAATTTTGTGTTATATTGTTTGTCAATATGGGGAGTGATTTCCTGTGCTTTAGAGAAAGCCCTTGACTATACTAGTGATTTCAAGTATTTCACCTGTATGTTTCTGCAGTCATTTCAAAGCTTCAGATCTTACATTAAGATCTCTTTGGCCCACTTTGGAATTGGTTGTAGCTTTGTGTGAGCAGTTTCGTTCTTCTACACATGCAAATTTTATTTTCTCAGTATTATATTTTATTTTTGGTTTTTTTTTTTTTTTGAGACAGGGTTTCTCTGTGGCTTTTGGAGCCTGTCCTGGAACTAGCTCTGTAAACCAGGCTGGTCTCGAACTCACAGAGATCCGCCTGCCTCTGCCTCCCGAGTGCTGGGATTAAAGGCGTGCGCCACCATCGCCCGGCTAGTATTATATTTTAAAGAAACTGTCTCTTTTTAATGTATATTTTAGACACCTTAATCAAGAATTAGGTGGTTATATCTCTGGGTTTATTTGTAGATACTCTATCCTATCCCATCAGTGTGCATATCTATTTCCATGCCAGTATCATGCTGGTTTTGTTACTATAGCTCTGTAACATAATCTGAGATCAGGTATTGAGATTCCTCCAACATTGCTCTTTCTGATAATGATGATTTTGACTATTCAAGGCCCTTGAAAATTGAAAACTGACACTTCTATGTTCAGAGGTGGAGGCAGGCTCAGTTAAACTAGTGGACTCCCATTTCTCCCCAGCTTTATACTGATGCTAAATCTCTATTGAAAAACTACAGATATTCACCAGGTCTGTCTTCACTTTGGCAGGTTTCCTTTCCTTACCAGCAATCTTTGCTGACCACAGGTAGCTTTCATCCTATGGGCTTGGCAGGTCTCACCCTCCAGATACACCATGGATTGTATCCCTAGGATGGCTACTGCTCTAGCCAGAGATGACTCTAGAATGTGGGCCATCTTCTATCTGCCTTGGGAGTGTGAGAAGGAGCAGCAGCACTGAGCTCTGATCAAGCAGAAACAGTCTTCATCCTAGCAAGAACTCTCGAGAACTTCTGTCATGTCGGAGAGAGATGCAGGTGCATCGACCATTCCTGGAATGTCAGGTTTCTGGGCTCTCTGGGCGTGAAGGTCAGAATTCGTGCTCCAGAGGTTGTTCACACTAGGAGCAATCTGACTTCAGGACTATGCTGTGTCGATGAGATCTGTTCCTGGTCCCCAGGGTCAGATTATCCGTCCCCATGAACTTCCTTGCCCAGCTTTCTGTCACCTACAGCCTGGACTTGTCAGCATGCAGCCTGCTGCTTTCCACTTCTGTCTCCAGAGTCTTCCCACACCCTGGGGCTGTGGCAGGCCAAACCGAAGCCTCAAGGAAGCTTGGTTTTTAATAGATTATTGCTCAAGATGCTAACTGGCTCCCTGAGTCACCCTGCGTGACACTGTGGGATTTCTCACTGTCTCACCAAAATTCGCAGCTGGAATTGCAGCTTGTGAACGCTGCTTTGGGCTTGTCCCAGTGGTGGGACTGCCTGTCTCCTGCATGGCTCACCTTCAGAAACGACCCAACTTGACTTTCTCCTTATTCTTGAAGCAATTGTCATTTTCTCTGTCCCTTTGGGACATCCTTTTACTTGTTTTGTGAATTTACAAAGCTCTTTTGTCTCTAAAATGGAGCCTATGTTTTCTTAGTGTGGGTGAGTATGCACTTGTATGTATGTGTGTGTGTGTGTATGCAAGCATGTGTGTGTGTGTGAGAGCATGTGCGTGTGTATGCATGTGTGTTCATGTATGTATAGGTGTGGAGATCAGAGGTCAATGTGGGGTGACCATATTCTTTGAGAAAGGGTCTCTCACTGAACCTAAAGTTTCCCAATCCAGCTAGTCTGGATGAGCCACAAGCTCCTGGATTCTTCTTGTCATGTGTGTAAATAAAATTATCTATGATCTTACAATGACAAAGAAGTTGCACTAGTTTATAAACCTTACTGGATGAATTCCATACGTAGCTTAAGAGCATGTTGTCAGTGGGGGCCCTGGTGTACTGTGATGAGAAATGGAACTAGGCAGAGATGGAAATGACATTTATAGCTCCTAAGAGGTCCTTAATTTGAATCTGTTGATTTTAGAGCCCATAAAACATGAACCAAGTTATTGAATTAGCATGTGTTCTATGTTTAATGATATTCCAGCCATGTCTAGAATACATTAACAGGAAGGATTGACCCCCTGACTATGTGGAAGATTATATATATATATATATATATATATATATATATACATATATATGTATATATTATTGAAAAGATATATAAAAGGTCATTGTAAAATTGAATTTTTTTCCTTACAATAACATTTTGTCAAATAAAATATGATATGCCAGTCAAACACCCAGGCTTCTGGTGTGGCTTCTGCGTTGAAGAATACAGATAAAACAGAAAATTCTGGGCAGGGAGGTGAAATTAGGGAGTGGGGGTGGTACGATCGATAAAGTGCATTCTTTGTGAACACGGGGACCTGAGCTTGCGTTCCAGAGCCCGTATCAGAATGCCAGGCATGGTGACATGGGCTGTGAGCCAGCAGTGGTCGGGAAGAAGCAGGTGGATTCCAGGGTCTAAACAATGAGTCCCAGGCCCGTGAGAGACCCTGCCTGGAAAAAGTACAGGAGTGGTCCTAACATGAGATTGTTTCCAGCCTCACTGACTTGTACACACATGGCCATGCACACTCATATATATACATGTGTACACAAATATATAAACATGAATTAGGAAGTAAAGCTTTTCAAATAAATTTTTGAAAAATATTTTCCAAAACCAGCTTTGACTATCAATTTTCAGATAGTTGGTTTTGTCCAAAACATTTGCCATGAGCTTGGTTCCACTCTGCACTTACATATGAGATGCTAAAAACAAGTGATGGCCACAGTGACAGTGAAGAAAGTAAACACTCCCAGCAGGGATGGAGCAGACCACAGAGGGCAGGGCTTGGCTTCTGTGCGTGGCTTCTGCTACTGTGGCCAAGTCCTGGACCAACATGTTACCTACTCACTCTTGGTTACAGGC